ATTTGGAGAGATAGTTTAAACAATACGAGAACATTTAAACATTGCTCCCGAAATCATGGACAATTTTACACCCATACTTACCAGGCACACCTGACAAAGAGTGGACAGTCTAATCTCAATATTCAGAGGAAGAAAATGTCTCACAAAAACAAGACCATGTGACTTGGCAAAGGTCACAAAGATAGTGAGTGTTGGGAACAGGGATAGAACCCATAATATGATTCCAGACCTCATTCTCTTCACCACTCGGAGAGACAATTCCTTGGAAGTACCGAATGGCTTTTCACAAAATACAAAATACACCAAAGATAGTAACATGTGATTTCCACACACCTGAACTCATACTGAACTGGGTGATTCATGCACAAAAAAAAAAGCATTCACCTGTAATTGCTGACAGGGTTAGCGATGAAGGTCCTGGTGAAGGCACGAAGAGAATCCTGAGACATTCCTTCCACTTCAACAACAAACAACAAATAACAACACCCCTTAGCATTCCACATACTTTACACACTCACACAGCATTCTCCAGTCAGGGTCTGAGTTGATATTCATTCACGCTGAAGGGGACAATTGTTCTCTGGGAGTCAGGGCGTTCTGAATGGGGAAGGCAATCTGTTCCCAGTGACAGGGACCCTACTATGTGCTGGGACCAATGAATACCCATCAAAACTTACAGGTTCAGAGCCCAAGGTCACAGAGTACGGATCTAGGGTGAGAGCTGTCAAATTCCACAGACTGTGTCCCTAATGCCCAAGCTGTGTGGGGCAGACAGGCATAGACCTGGTTCAGACCAGGATGGTGTGAAGGCAGAGTGGGGACAGGAGAACACACCAGGAAGAGGGAGAGAAGGGAAGCCATCAGGGAAGCTGAGAGAGTTCTGAGAGGGAGCCCAACCAGCAGGGAATGGGCAGTGGGGCATCTGAGGAAGAGGTTCTACACACACTCACCTTCCTTGAACACTCCGTTGACAGAGAAGCAGAGCATCATCTCCTAAAAGGGGAGATCCCAGGTGTAAGTCACCTAAACTCCCTACGCACCTGTGACATTCTGGGGGCTGCCCTTGGGGGGAAGCAGGCGCTCACCATCTGGAACCATATGTCCACCACGAAGGAGCTAAGGTCATGCTGAGTTTTGGGCAGCACACAGAGGGAGTGCACGACGTCATGTTTTGTATGCTTCAGCAGCTGAACACGCAGGTCTATGGGGGGCGGAGGAGCAAGTGAAGGTCAGG